ACGGACCGTTTGAATAAGCAAAACCTCACGAGTCTAGTCTCTCTAGTCTAGTCTAGGAAGCAAAAGTATTTTCGTATTTATAAAAAAGGCGAAGTATAAGTATGAGAAATTGCTTAAGACTGTTAATAATTTGTATTGTGAATTAATGTAAATACTAATAAAATTTTTAATCTTTGTTTTATTTATCTTATCCATCTCTGAGGTTTTTATTATTATTTATTTGTAATATTGTTGGCCACACGGGATTGTCTACTAGAAATCCCGGGAAGATCCAGATTAATATCAACATTTCGATGCAAGTACATAAATCACTCTACCTAATTTAATGTATCAAAAATGATATAAACTTTTTTTATTAAAATTACTTTAAATCATATGTTTAAATCAGTTAAAACTGAAAGTTCATGCAATTAAGGGTTAAGATGAACATAGACAAAACAAAAGTCATGTGTAATGTCCATATCACACCTATGCCGGCGTAGACAGAGAAACCTATAGACTAATGATTAGCGTGGCCTCGAGTGAGAAAGGACGATAACGTAGTTTTAGGTTTTACAATAATCTTTATGATTAAACATATTTAGATAAAATATTTAATTGTTCTAAGAACTGAACTGAACAAGATTCATAGGTTTCTCTGTCTACGTATGTCGGTGGTTGTTGGGAGCACTTAGCTCGAAGTTGTTGACGAGTATGTTTACCTTTGACAAGTAGTCCGACTACTACTATGAAGAAAGCTAACTACTGTGACATCTGTCTAATTAATAACTTAATTGATGATAGTTGCAATTTTAAACTAATAGGGGTTAAGACGAAATCAAAGAGCTTCGAAATAATAACTATATTGTATACTACTTACAATTAATTTGCGGCAGTTAATACTAAAACACTATTTGAACCTAATAAGGATCTTGAGGGCTTCTTTCTTGCTTGTTCTGTCTTGAGAGCTGTAGCCGCGCGAATGACGAAACCAGAAGCGCTTGTTTTATTTCGACGGTCGGTGTTACGTAAGCACAGACCTGGTGCAAGCGTTTGTCCTTGCGGGGTTCTGTTCTGATGCGGGGTGCGGGAGACGTGTAGACGTAGGTGCAGTGCGGGGCGACGGACGTTTACCTCTTCGCCGTCCGCAATACATAGTAAAGTAATACCTTTATTTAAATCTGGTAGTATATTGGGACCCGCTTATTTTAGACCTATTTCTGTACTGCCAACACTTGGCGAAATTTTTGAAAAAATGATTCTTGATCAAATGTAAATTTGTTTAATGTAAATAATTTACTACATAAAAATCAATCGATTACACAAGGGGTCGCTCAACAATTGCATGCGTTGAGCTAATTAAATTTATCTTCAATGCATGTCAGAATTCAAAGGATGCTTTGGGTATATTCTGTGACCTATCCAAAGCCTTCTGCTGTGTTAATCATGAAACATTAATCAGGAAACTTCAACACTACAGTATAAGAAGTGATGTTCTTAAATTAATTACATCATATTTAACTAACAGAACGTAAAAAGTTGTCATTGTGCGTGTAGTATGAGTTCTTCCAGGTCGATAGTACAAATGAGCGTGCCTCAGGGCTCAATTCTCGGCCCTTTCTGTTTTTGGGCCGGCTCAAACCGGGATGGTACCACGACCTCACAGAACACCATTCTAAAGTAGAGTTATCTCTGCGTTTCGCTTGGTGAGTGCAGGCGGCCGGAGGCCCAATTCCCCCCCCCCCCCTTAACATCGTAGCGGAATTAAGTGAAGATATACCCTAGAAGGGTACCAGAACCCCTGGTGACGGAGAATCCCTTGCTGAGTATCCACGATCAAGTTATCCTACTCTTCCTGAGCGTGGGTGCTTAGACTGCCCCGCGTATTCTGACGACGAAGCTAGCATTGCTCTTTTTCATCGAGAGTCAGGTTTCCTCTCCGGCTGATACTTCATATCTCTCCTACCCGGGGTACAAATTAGAACATTCCCTTGTGCCACGGGCTGGAGTTTGCGTATACGTTAGAGAGGACATCCCGCCGTCTACGAGAGCTTCTATAGGTCCCATAGCGGTAATAACGAAACAGACCGAATCCTTGACCACGTCCACGTCCACGCACAGATTCCGTGCTACAGATCCCATGCAAAACTGGTTACTGCGCCTACGGTCAAAATATTAGGTAAAAGATTAGAAATCTTACCAGTGTTGAAACAGCTAGACTAGTTTACTTTAGCTATTTCCATAGCATAATGTCGTATGGTATTTTTCTATGGGGATACGCGACTGACACTGAAATTATATTATTTTTACAGAAGAGGGCCATCAGAGCAATCTTTGATTTAAAACTTAAAGAGTCGCTCAGACATAAATATAAGAAAATTAATATATTAACTTTGGTCTCTCAATACATTTATTAAAATGTAATGTACAAAACAAAACAAAAACAAAATTAGTTTTGCAAAAATAAGTGACATTATTTCTGTAAATATGTACTAGAAACAGACACAAGCTAGTAGTACCAGTTACTCGACTCCACTGAGTCAATAATTGATTCTTGAGGCGATGTTTACGCTTTTACAACAAAATCCCAGAAAAATATGCTAACCACCGACAATTTTCTTTACGTATGTCACTCAAACCTTACCACATTATCAGTACTTTTAATTTATAATTATGTATTCCGTTACTTATACATGAATTTCCTTATCTCTTTTACAAATTTATGTCATATAGTCTCGTATAATATTTAGGTAAATCATTCATAGTCAAGGAACGAGGCCCACAATATCAGCAAACCAAAATTTAAATCATTAAATTGTATACATAAGAGGAATTTCAAAATCATTTACACCAAGAAATTATTTTCATAATCTATACGTGTACGTTACACCTAAGATGCTGCTGCTGATAATATAAATAAAATATTCTGCTTGTGGTAAAATAGAAAATAAATTTAAAAACTGCTAATAGCTACACGAACGCGCTGTGTGGCGATGCTATGTGAACTGATTCAATAAACAATAAAAATAAGTATATGAGGCAAAAATGCTGATCGGGCGATTTGAGCGGTTGCACCGTACATGCTCCTGGGCGAGAACGTGGGCGAGATGAGCTAAACTAGAACATAGATGAGACCGACATAACACCTACCTAGGCTGCACTAAAAGTATCGGGAATGGAATATTTCCACTGTTCCTGTCATATTAAAATCTTTTTAATTGAAAACTCCTTGGTTTTAAAAATCGAATACCATTTATTTATTTAAAAAAAGATTCTCGGTCTTGTCACAAGGTTTTGTCAAACTTGTTTAGTCGTGGAGAAAATGGAATTGACTCGAGAAAATTCAAGAGCGATGATTTATTATGACTTTCGAAGTGGTTTAACACAAAAGCAGTGTGTTGACCGGATGATTTCTGCATTTGGTGATGAAGCCCCATCCAAAACCACAATTTATCGCTGGTTTGCGGAATTTCAACGTGGACGTGTCAAGCTCAGTGAGGATCCCCGTCAAGGTCGTCCAAAAACTGCAGTCACCCAAGAAAACGTTGATGCTGTGCGTAAGCTGATTGAGGAAGATCGAAATGTGACATACCGCGAAATTCAGGCAACTTTAGACATTGGCATGAGTTAAATACAAATAATCTTGCATGAACAATTAGGTGTAAAAAAGTTGTTTTCCCGATGGATACCGCATTCGCTCTGTGAAGAGCAAAAAGCGGCTCGCGTTACTTGGTGCGTCAGAACTCTCGAAAGATTCCACGCAGGATCCTCAAATGCTGTATACAACATCTTATCAGGTGACGAATCCTGGATATACGCGTACGAACCCGAAACAAAAAACCAGTCACGAGTTTGGGTGTTCGAAAATGAGTGAAGCCAACAAAAATTGTTCGTTCACGGAGTGTTGCAAAAAAAAAATGGTGGCCACGTTGTCTCCAAAACCGGCCATGTTACGACTATTCCTCTTGAGGGACAAAGAACGGTTAATACAGAATAGTATGCTAACATTTGTTTGCCACAGGTGGTTTCTGAACTCCGTAAAGAGAACTGCAACCGCCGCATCATCCTCCATCACGACAATGCGAGTTCTCACACAGAACAAAAGAGTTTTTAGAGCAAGAAAACATAGAATTATTAGACCATCCGCCGTACAGCCCCGACCTAAGCCCTAATGATTTCAGGTAAAGGCACTAGTAATGGACAAAAAATAAAGTAATCATCTATAATAAGAACATAAATCATTTTTTTATATTGGCAACGCTGTGACATAGACTATAGACAACTAGCTGTCAAAGTTTAACGTTTTATTCAATTCGTTTTGTCAGATGGACAAGATGGCGTGAGTGCAAAGTGTTTCTGTGATTGTAAATTGATATTAGCGATTTTTCTTAAGGAAATTGTTACTGCGGTGAGTAGAAAGTTTTATATGTAAACTGGTATTGCTTTGTTTTAATCAGAATGTGTTTTATCTGTTGGGTTAACACAGTATGAAATTAAAACGACAACGCACATTGTTGTAACTCCAAAGAGGTTATGATTGTTGATATTTTATTGATGTTTTTAACTGGTGCATTGTAATTAAATGGTTCCAAAAATGGACAGATGTCGAAACTTAATATCATCTTGATATATTCAAATTTTTAACTTATTTTACTCTAACTATTATTATTTGCTATAAGCTAGTTGTAAATTTGAAAAATACTGATGTATACCAGTAATGGACGTATGTGTCCATTATTGGGTATTTTATAGGAATCCAGTTATGGACATTGATAAAAATGATACTTATTCTTTGTTATTGAAATGGCTCCTAAAAAAGATTATACGCCTCAACAAATGGGCTGGGCTATTGAGGCAGTAAAAAAAGGGTTAAAATATCCGAAGCAGCCAAAAAGTTCAATGTACCTAGAATAACCTTGCACAACAAAGTTACTGGTAAAAGTCCGATTGAGTGCTCAATGGGACCCAGCACCATTTTAATTAAGGAAGAAGAAAACATTTTAGAAATCTAGATCAAAGAAATGTTAGATAAACATATACCTGTAACAAAAGAGGATTTAATGGACAGTGTCCAACGAATAATAATCGACAAAAAGCAAGAAATCCCTTTCAAAGATAATAGACCTGGCAAGAAATGGTACACATCATTTCTAAAACGACATCCTACGATTGCTGAACGGGTAGCTCAAAATTTGTGTACAACAAGGGACAATGTTACCCAAGAAGACATAGAGAAATGGTTTTCGGAAGCAGAGAGTGATCTCAAAGACAGAAATCTCATTGACATAATGCAACATCCTGAAAGAATTTTTAATACAGATGAAAGTGCATTTTTCTTAAATCCAAAACCAGGACATGTTCTCGCTAGAAAAGGATATGCTTCTTCAGGCGACGATAAAGAAAATTTGACCGTTCTGATTAGAGGAAATGCTGCAGGAAAGTTGGCACCTACTCTGGTAGTATATAAGTATGCAAAAATACCGTCATTAGTTTCAGAAAAGTTTCCCGATGACTGGGCCATTGGTCGTTCAGAAAGTGGATGGATGTGCTCAGGGACATTCTACGAATATATAACAAACGTCTTTCATCCTTGGCTGATTAAAAAAATATTGAAAGACCAATTATATTCTTTTTGGATGGACATAAATCAAATTTAACTTTGCACCTGTCTAATTAACAATGGTATTGAAGTCTCAGCACTCAACCCAAAATTCTACGCATATCTTACGACCTACAGATTTGGCAGTAATCAGGCCTTTGAATTCGTTATGGCGAGAAGCGGTAAAAAATTGGAAAAATCAACATTTGGGACAAGTCCTTAAAAAACAACATTTTGCTCCACTCTTGAAGACAGCCGTAGAGAAAATTTCCGAGACAGTGAGAAATGGGTTTCGTGCGAGGGGACTGTACTCATTTGGCCCAGAGTACGTTGACATGATCAAAATTAAGAATCAGAACCGAAAAAATACTCAAGACTACATGCCAAAACGAATTTTTGAAAAGCTTCGAAAACAAAATTGAATCCATTTTGTCTAAAGACAAGCTGAAGTTATTCAAAGATCTTTATTACAAAAGTCGCTTTGAGCTAGAAGAACTTTTGCCTAATGAAGATATATATCTATATTTGATTTGGGCCAACAGTAAGCAAACTGACGTAGTAAATGAAGAATCTTCAAATCCTGTATCAGTTACGAATAATCCAGATGCCAATGATTCGCCAAGAGAAATACAAACAATTCCTGTTTTGTCTTGTAATATTAATAATTCCGAACCCAGTATTTCTTCACATACCAACTGTTTGTCCAAAGATCACCAGTTAACATCCACAATCCCGGTTGCTACGTCAAATCCTTCACCAGGAACTAATAATCCAAATTCCACCGAGTCTTCTAAAGAAATCCGAACAAATCCTGATTTGTATTGCAGTGCAAATTTTGATGATTCTGAACCTAGCACTTCTACACAAACGAATTGTATGTCCATAAAAACTTCAGGTCTCAATTCTTCGAATATGGAAAATGTAGGCCAAGAAGATAATAATATACGAGATGATTCTTTACCAAGATGCAGTCACAAAACACCTATTAGAACAGTTAATGTTGGCACTTCAAACTATGTGATTCCATCTCCTTTTAAACGAAACTTATTTTGGCCTGAAACTGACGAAACAACAAAAAATAAAAAACGTAAGTTAAAAGAAAAAATACCATTTACAGTTACAAGCTCTGCATGAAAGGCCTATCATGCTAAAAAAGAAGAACAGAAAAGGAAACAAATAGAAGAGAAGGAATTGCGAGCTAAAAAAAGAGAAGAAAAAAGGCTTGAGAAACTTAACAAGGAGAAAAAGTTACAAAGCAAAAAAATAGATCCGAGTCTTCTGACACTGAAAGTGAAATAATTTACGCCGAAAGTGAAGAAAGTATCTTGTCTGGAGGATCGGAATTGGATGACGCGCCGTTGAGTACGTTAGTTCCTTCTCAACATAAACTATCAAAGGGAAGTTACGTTATAGTTTTATATGAAGGGCAACATTTTCCTGGGGCCATTGAAAATAGAAATAAAAATGAATTTGAAGTAAGCACGATGACATTTTCAACAGGAAACACCTATAAATGGCCAGAAAAAACAGATAAAATGTGGTACCAAAGCGAAGACATCGCCGAGTACATCCGTCCTCCAAAATTAATCAATAATAAAATAGGATTTTACAGTGTAGAAGAGATGCAATAATACTCAATTTTTACTTTTTGAATGCTTACCTAAGTTATTATGATAATTGTGTTTTTTATTAACAAAGACGAGTTTATGATTAACATAAATAAGAAACTTTGTATTGTTAATTCTGATATATATTTTATACTTACAGAAATATTTTGAGTTAAAAGAATTTAAGAAAGGCTGATTATGTTTATGTTCGATTGTTGCTTAATTATATCATAGATTTTTAATAAAGTATTCGTTAATTAATAATGAATGTAATTATGAAGGCTGATTAAGTTCATGTTCGTAAATTACTTTTAGATAGGTAAGTTCTTTAATGCTAATCAGATTGTCGATTTAGAAAAAAATACATCGTCAATTTAGAAAAAGTTCGTTAAAAATAAAAATAAATATTTATATTATTCTACTGCATTTTATTTTTACTTCAATAATTAAAATTATCTCTATCTTGACATACATCATAAATTCTGCGATTAGGTCATAATAATATAAATTTAGTCATAAGTAGGTACAAAATGTATAAGAGTAGGTTCGAGTTTATTATTGGATGTCCATAACTAGGTTTAAGTTCATCACTGGATGTCCATGACTAGGTTATGTTCATTACTGGATGTCCACAACTGGTTTTTAGCTGTCCATGACTGGGTAAAAAACTAGGATTTTTAAATGTTAAAAAAATTAAAACCAGCTTTGCAGTATCTCACGCGTAAGACAGTAAAAATATTGCCTATGGACAGGACTTTACACTTTAAGTATATTCAGTACTGAAACTTTCACGATATTGATAAAAATTCACAAACACCACAATTTTTTTCTTAAACTGTCCATAACTGGGGTGTTTATCTTCTATAATTTTCCTAAAATAAAGAATAATTTGCGTGGACAGAGACTTTCATCACCTGAAGAAGCTGTGGCCGCCTACAAAACGGCATTTTGGAGACCCTAACTTCCGAATGGAATGGTTGCTTCAATGATTGGTTCCATCGTATGGAAAAATGTGTGAAATTTCGCGGAGAATACTTCGAAAAGCAATAAATACATTTTTAAATAGTAATGTTGTGTCATTTCCTTGATTCCCGAAATTTTCACTGCCGACCTCGTATCGGCTAAATTACAAGATGATGACCCGACAATTTCTAGTGAGTTTTTCTAAAATTACATTTTAATAAAACTGGGGAAGTGTTTTTATGCACCGACTGATTAGGCTCACTTTGATTCTCTTGATCGCATTGGATATCGTAGTATGTAATTAATTTCAAATGATCCTGTACTAATCGCATACTTAACGTTTTGTGATGTAGTTTGCATGCACAGTTGAAGTTATGAACAGAGTGTCATAAAAATAGATAAGAAGTTTCTATGAAAACTTTTCTTGGGTGTTTGTGTCCTTTTATTTTTTGCTGATACTTCATTTATTATTGTTGTTTCTTTACTTTTGTTTGACTGATCTACATGTATGTTAACTGGTAGGATCGATAACTTAATTACAGGTCTTTTGATAACAGAACCGTTTCGTGTTTTGGCTGAGACGACTCAGACCAGATTATCGGTACCGGGGTGTAGTTCAATCACGCGACCTAAAGCCCATTTACCAGGGGGTAGGTTAGCGTTGTGTATCATCACAACATCGTCAAGTTTGATGTTTCCCGTGACTGACGCCATTTGCTTTGTGCTGAAAGCTGAACCAAATTCAGCACGCCACCTTTTCCAAATGTCGATGAATATCTTTTGCGTTAGCTGCCATCTGGTTCTCCCGCCTGTTTCTGTCTCAATAATCGAAAGAATAGGTCCGCTGGACAAGGAATGAGCTGGCGTTAAATAATTATTTAACTATTATTTAATTATAATTAATCTCGCCTGGGTCTTCTGACAATATAAAAAGGGGCCTCGAATTGAGACAGGCTTCTTTCTAGCTGCGCTAATAACGAGAAAAATTCTTCATATGTCAGTTTTTGATCGCCTACAACTCTACGCAGATGGTGCTTTAGGGTTTTTACTGTTGCCTCCCAAAGTCCACCGGCACTAGGCCACGAGGGGCGATAAAGTGCTAGTCGATCTTAATCTCGCTAATCTCTGTGAAGAACTCTTCAGATATTATTGATTTAAGATCGAAATAGTCTTTGGACAGGATGTTGTTAGCCACGATGAAATTAGTCCCGTTGTCACTATATAAATGACGTGGGGTCAATGATTTCAAAAAGAAGGATAAGCCCATCTAAATATTTTACTCATAACTTTTTCATACAATAAAAAGTAGCGCATCTGTCATAATTCAAACGTCATATCAAAACATGACATAACCAGGGTTGGATTTCGTAGTATAATTATCCTAATTGTACCATTATTTCATAGTTTGTAGTACATACTATTGTAATAATACTAAGCAAAAATACCATAACTTTATCTAAAGGTCGACTTGTAATATTATTGGGTCTTTTTACATTTTAATATTAACCCGACGATATCGAGAATTTCTGTATTGTACATGAGTACCGCGTTTTTTAATAAAATCAGAATTAGCTCCCTTTCTGGTCAATTGATGCATTTATGTCGCATCCTTGATTCAACTATAATGAAACTCTTATGCTCCAGAAGCAATCGGTTTGAAAACAGAATTTCAAAATATTTTAGGAATCAGATTTTCAGATTCAATTATGCAGATATGGTTTATTTTGTACTCTTTTCGTTTTACCCTTATTGAATATAAAATATATTAGGTACCAATATTCAAAATTTAATTTACACTAAGTTGTGTGGACAAAAATTAAACAGAAATAAAAATAAAATCATCAAAAAACAAAACGTATAGAAAAAATAGACGCGTGACGCCAAAATCCCGGCACATGGGAAAAATAAACATGAAACGTCGAATGTGATATAATTTTTTTAAAATAGTAGGTATAATTTTATTTTCCATGTACAATATTTCTGAGGGACTGAATCCAACCCTGGCCTAATCTTGGTAACGTAACTAAACTAACTGTAAAATAAAACTTTAAAAATGCGTTCATATAATAATTTAATTGTAACAAAATTAACATAATGTTATTTACCGATGATACGATATCCCGTTTTTTTATGACATGCAAATATGTCCTGCGCGCGCACCACTGTCGACCGATTCGCGTTGGCCCTAAACTGTAATTTATGGGCCCACAAAAAATAAAAAAGGAAAAATATATATTAGCCTCAAACACTGACCTCTATATATACAAGTACGCTGGACTGGCTATACCATAGAAAATGACATTAGCTTGCTACATATTTATTTATCTATGAATGACATGTTCCAATTTGAAGCGCCGCCAAAGGATGTCTTGAAAAATAAAATTGACATAATATGCCAAAGTCTGTTGTCATAATATTTAAATTGTCTTATTTAATATAACTGTATTTTGAACTTTTAATCTAAAAAATGAAAGTATTTTATGTTGTTTGATTGTGTATAATATTAGTTACATAATAAGAATTATTTTTATTAATAATGATAGTATGCGTAATCTGTAAAACTCGTTACCAAACGGGAAGTGGTATAACATTTCACAAGTAAGTGAATTTGCAGCAAATATGAAACAAATTAAAACTATTTGATAATATAAGTACTTAAAAATTTGTTACTTATCTTAATATCATATATACCAACTTATTTTCTTAACTTAGTTTACCTTTGGCTGTATATTACTGAGTTTTGATAAACAATAAAATTCAATATGGTTGTCGAGTTCCTAGTCTATAATACTTATCGATGTTCTTTCCTACCCATATCTGTTAACAAACAAAGTCGCCAACAACAGACGATTATCAAATATTTATTAATTAACAGGTTCCCAAATGAACCTAGATTAAAACTATGGCTTAAAAGCATAGATATTTTGAATTGGCGTCCGAAACAAAATGATCATATTTATTCCAAACATTTCACAGACGCCTGTTTTATTAGACATGAGAACTGCACCACTTTGAAAAGGTGCAGTATACCGACAATATTTTCTGGTAGTACCAGTACCAGTAAGTATAAAAGTATTAGATTATTATTTCGAAAGTTATTTTTTTATTTCTTCTTTCCTCATTTTTCACCAAACTCAAGGGTCATAGTCAAGTGTCGAAAGGTCGCCTGATGATGTCGAGACACGTTGTATGTGTTTTAGTGGGCTGTGGCTAGAGGAGATTCTTCTCCCTGTACCGCTGTAGTCGAGGAGGAGTCGTAAGGGAAGAGGAGTGTTGGTATGGCGATTGGCAATGCGCCACTCGACTATCTATCGCGACTTTGGTGAGGCTGCACCACTTGATGCTTCCAAGTGATAGTTTTCTCTGGCTCCATTCACATATCAGGCTCGGGGAGTCCATAGGAGTGGAGTCGGTGGAGTTAGAGAACGCGAAGGGCAGTGTGGCTTGTTTCTGGTGCGCCTTATCTGAGAATGAAAACGGGGGGAGAAGTCAGCAACTAAGGAGGGGCTGCCATTGGGCGGCATTATTTACACTTACGGAAAATTATGTGGAACTTAAATCTTGGATTGCGCTTTACAACAGTTGCGTTCTGGTTTAAGTTGGTTTACTCGTTTTAATGAATAAACTCTACCACCAACTACCAACTCTGGAGTAACAATAGCCAGTATTGGCTTCTCTATGTTTGTGTTACAAAACGCAAAATGAAATTATCTTGGTGTAAGACCAAAGAGTAAAATTATTCGAGGGTTAGTTACTCTGGTTTAACATAGTATTTGGTCGAATCCATCCTTAATACACGGTTAAATAACCGTTTAATAATGTTATGGTATTCTTTAATATAATGTTGTCCTTAGTTCTTGGACAATTTCATCCGAAGAGTTCGTATCTCTATAAATGTTTCCTCAGTTTAGTTAGTGTAGTTTCTAAAAAACTGTATATGCGACTGATTTTCGCTGCTTGTAATAAGAAGTTGTTTATTTGTTGTTTCCTCGCTTGAAGGCTAAGTATAGCCATTCAGAGAGGACACGTAGCCAGCATTCTTGGGACGATACCACAGAAAGTAGGACTGTATAATAATTTCTGTTATTTTTTTAATATTGTTATTGTAATTTCAAAAATGTCGTAAATAACTGATAACAATGTAATTCAAAGTTTATATTTTTTATATTATTTTGCTAGCTCGTACCCGGCGCAATGCTGCCGCAGAAGAAGTAATTGTGGACGTATCGTTAAAAATGTGGAACAGTTATACTGTATAATTAGGAATGATAATAAAATCATTGAAATATAATGATTTTCTTTAACTTTCAAATAAATAGTCAGTATAATTGCGTATTACCCATCTATTAGCCACCTAATGTCAGTTAATTGTACCATGCGTATAACCTTCGCACAAGTGCAACCAATAAGTTGACTAAGTTTTACCGCAATCTGATGAACTGTATAGCATCGTAGAAAGTATGAACAAACATAAATTTTTATAAAGTAGAAAATATTTTACTGTCTATAGACAGACCTGTAGTTGATTAGAATAAGCGTTATTATAGCAGCTGATTTGTTTTTATAATACTAGAACTAAATGAACGGTTGACAATAAATTATTTTAGAAATTATGTTTTTATTTTTATTTTGTGTAGTTAGTTTAATCATAATAATTTTTTAGTTGAATGGCCTAAGGGCTACGATGGCTATCCGAGTACAGAGCCAGAATACAAAACTAATCCAACAGTAGAGATGTGTAAGACAGGGTAACGCAACATCCCTGAAATACTTTACCGCTGCATTGGAAGACGTTTTCAAGCTACTGGACTGGAAAGGATACGGTATGAAAGTCAATGGCGTGTACGTCACTCACCTTCGATTTGCCGACAATATAGTCCTTATGGCAGAATCGCTGGAGGAACTAAGCACTATGTTCAATGACCTCAATAGTGTCTCCCAACGGATAGGTCTTAAGATGAACATGGACAAAACAAAGATTATGTTTAATGTCCATGTCACACCTATGCCGGTAGTTGTTGGAAGCACTATGCTCGAAGTTGTTGACGAGTACGTTAACCTGGGACAAATAATCCGACTAGGCAAGTCCAAATTCGACCTAGAGGTCAATCGACGGATTCAACTCGGATGGGCAGCGTTCGGGAAATTACGACATATCTTCTCGTCAGGTATACCTCAATCTCTAAAAACTGGATTGTACAACCAGTGCGTGTTGCCAGTGATGACTTACGGATCTGAGACGTGGTCCTTCACTGCTAGCCGTATGAGGACGCTCAAGCTCGCTCAGCGATCTATGGAGAGGGCTATGCTCGGAGTTTCTCGGCGTGATAGACTCAGAAATGAGGATATCCGCAGTAAAACCAGAGTGACCGACATAGCCCAACGGATTAGTAAGCTGAAGTGGCAATGGGCCGGCCATATAGCTCGAAGAACCGATAACCGGTGGGGAAGAAAGGTTCTCGAGTGGCAGCCTCGTACCGGTAGGCGTAGTGTAGGGCGACCCCCCACTAGATGGAGTGACGACCTGGTAAGATATGCAGGAAGTCGATGGATGCAGGTAGCTCAGGACCGTGCTTTGTGGCATTACTTGGGGGAGGCCTATATTCAGCAGTGGACTTGTGAAGGGCTGTAATGATGATGATGATGGAATAAATTGGTTTGTTATATATTAACTTCGTTTTTCGCAATTGAACCAAGATAGAACAAGTTGCCGGACTCGAGGATTGCCATGTCCTCCCCCTCTCTTCGGACCTCGGATAATCCAATAATATGCCAGCGCAACTTGTCTAGCTCTTCTTCCAGCTCCAGTATCTTCTCGTCAGTCCTCAGGGTGCGTGCGTTATATGTTGCCAGGTCGAGTCGTCGTAGGTGGCAACCGAACCTCCACCGGAGATTCTTAGCACCCCCTGTCTCGCCGTTACCATGGTCAGTAATAACAGAGTATACTTTCCACAATGTAAATTAATGCTCTTCTAAAAAAATTCTTTACCCGACAAGTTTAAAAGTTTCCCAATGACTTGCCCCGGTTTGTCCCCCCCCCAGATCCGGGGCTGGTTGAATGCATCAAATCAAATTCCATATAAGAATGGCTTGACTCTAAGAATTTGAGTTCTTTCTTGCTTTTTCCTTTCCACTACTTCTTTTACTCTCTTATTTAGACGTCTAAAGTCTGCCTTTTTTCTTTCAATCTCATCACTCATACCGTCAGAATTATCAGCTTTGGTTGCTCTAGGTATGCTCTATTCTTTGCTTCAACTTCCATCCGTATCTCATCATCCACCACAACGTATTATTTTTCCTTTCATTTGTTCTCTTACTTACACCACATACTTCGGTGGCTGCATCCAACAAACTTCTTAATATTATTCCACACAGTCTTAAAGTCTAAATCAATTCATACACAATTCGTTGAAACACCTAGTATTTTCCCTCATATTTACATTTATACTTCTCTTTCACATCTTCAACTTGTAACTTCTCTATTCTTATACACTGTAACGTAGTGGTAGACACAGATGTCCGATGCCGCCAACGCTTGAATAGACCATTAGGTAATTCGACATAAGACCAAGCAATGATTCGTTCCTACGTTGGACGTTGCAAACAAAGTGTTCGTCACAAAAAGATTATTTTCTTTTCTTTTTCTTGAGAAGATCTTCACCATTCACATTTATAGTTTCATCACCAAACGTTACCAATATCCTTTCATAACCAGATGTCTTCACCCCAACCCTTTCATTAAAGTCTCCAAATACGAGTATAATAATATTTTCATTTTCCTTAAATTTAATCAAAACCATCCTTTCTATCCCCCAAAACTGTTCTCAGATATGTGGGCTTAGACATGTCTGGGGCGTACACCCCTAGCACAAACAGCTTCTTTAAGCCCACTTTAATTCGTATCCATAGCCTCGTGTTTACACATCCATACTCTTTCCCACATTGACCCATTCTTTCTAAAAGTATGATACCGACTCCCTGGCATGACCGCTCGGTCTCGTCTACACCAGACCAATACGTGGTATACATGCCATATGTAGTGGCAGTAGAATATTACAGTATAGTAGAGGCATTATATTAAATTAGAATATATCCAGAACAGTGTTGGATTGAGTTGAATATTCTAATCAGTTCACAAAATCCACTACACATCTTAATATAATGATTATTATGCATTACACACTGATTTAGTTGTATGATATGAAATAAATTTTCGTTAATTAGTAAATTATATTTATTTTAAAATCGCTTAATTTTCCCTTCATGAACTATGCTGGCAACACTTTTTATTTTACGAAAATATTCAAAAAATACAAGTTTTAATGATAATATTACGTTAAAAGTATTGACACAGATGCAAAGTTAGATTGTATTTTTGTAGATTTGAAGGTTTTTATCGTTTTTGCATGAAAATACACTGAGGGGTATGCCTTGCGATGCCGTCTCGTTTGGTTTACAAAGTATTATGTTGATTTATCATATTGTGACGCTTTTGAAAATTATACTGTAGAAAATTTATATCACGTTATATCATCTATCAACAAGTGTGGGAGTTACAACCCACATTAGATGATCCTTCGAGCCGGATCGGATAAGAAAAGGGGTTTTGAAAAGAAAAGTAGTGGTGTTATAACGTTTATTTTTAAATAAAAATTTATACATTTTGTGTATAGCATTAAAATATGTATGCTTTTGTGTAAGAACCTTTTCTCAAGAGTATATGTCATTTTGTTCTGTCAATATGCTTTTGTTGTTAGTTATGAACTTTACTGGCTTTATTGTTTACTATATATTACACTTGAATTAATTAAAGAATATTTACTCGTGTGATTTACCGTATCCTAAATATACAAAAGTAGTTTTACTTTTATGTAAATGATCTTTAGGTCTTTAGGAGAGTTGGTCAGTACAAGCTTTTATAAAAGCGACAAACTTTTTGTAGGCCACTAAGCCCAAAACTTTTGTTTTTATTACTTATTTATTTTTGGAAAAACTAGTTGCACTAGTTACTTACACCTTTACTAATGCTATCGTTAGCCACTTCATCGCTTTAATACTCAAACGCTGCTCAATTTTATGATGCCGTTAAGTCTCGTACTGTTTCTATCACTTTAAGTCAAAGTGGCTGTGACCCCACGAGATTTGACGACTTAAAATTGAGTAGCGTATAAGTATTTGGCTCGCATATGTAAAGTAAAAATGCTTGTTTTTTATAGAGGAGGATTTGCCCCTCTTCTATAAAACAGCTTTGTCCGAGTGGAATGAACCTACGTCTTTTGAATTGGCAGTCTTTTTCCTTAACCATTACGAGGGTAACACAGTAGCAGGTATAAGTGGCTATTGGTTGTAAATGGGAGCGTATCGCAACGGGGCTACTGTAGCGTCCAGTGCGGGTGTTGCGGCGGTGTGTTGTATAGCAAGCACGGCCAATCTCGCAGACGCGTAGTGCGAGTGTACGCGTCCCGCGCCAGCCCGCGAGCCGTGTCGCCCACCCAGCCACCCGCACCACCGCCCGCCCCACCGCCCGCCCCACACGCCGCCCCGCACAGCGCTCCGCCCAACCACGCTACGCTGTTGTCGTGCGCCGGTGCACTGTGGAACTTGAACTGCATCTGCCCCAACCGCTCCCTGAGACACCAAAACATGTATTTAATTTTGTTAATTTGCCTAGACCGCACACATCGCGATAGAATTCCGATTATGAAACTTCGCCTACGGGGCAGCCTACGGGGAACGTGTCACACTGCGCGTTTCTCGTTTATCGATGGTTTATAGCGATAATCACACGTTAAACACAAAATGGACACCGCTGTCGCTCTATATTGTATGAAATCGAATAATATTTTTTTACGACTTTTTCAGCATTTGACATGCAACAGCTTTAGACGCCTGCATTATTTATTCAAAATGTCTCATAAAATTATTTATCTTTTTATTACTTCAAAAACTTGTCATTGGAGAAAATACGTCGTATAATCTAATTTAAATTTTACACGTCTGCTACGCACGATGTCTGTGCGCCGCTTGAAGTGTTGCTGTATAAGTGTTCATCGCGAAAAAGGCTTTGATATGCGAGAGTTTACCGACAGCGAAGCGATGTGCTTGCGACTTCGCACGAAGTATTTACGAATATAGCGCCACGGTATTACTAACATAGCATTCTAATGCGCCACTCCGACACTCGTCGATCAGTGCATTACAGACATTTATATCAAGTAGTCGTTTACTTATTACTATAATGTCATATCATGACAACTTTATATCGTGTCATATTATCTATCGACAAGTTTGGGAGTTATGCTATAGCTATAGCAAGGAACATTCAATGATCCTTCGAGTTGGATCGGAAAAAGGTTAAGAACAGAAATGTAGTACAGGTGTTATAACGTTTATTTTGTAAATAAAACACATCGGCGTTTTATACGCGGGATTTGAAGTAGGAAGAGAGCTACGAAGAACGAGTATATTTTACCCGACAATATTTGGTACAGTAATAGTATTTTTTGGTATGAAACGTCGGCAGTGAACTTTTGATCCCATTGATTTGAAGGACAGAACTATTTTTTAGTAGAAAAGCACGATGAACACAAAATGTGTATACATACAGTTCATATAAAAGTAATGAATTATTTTGTTATTCTTTAGCATCTCGGTAAAAGTACACTGAAAGAAATGATTCTCCCTAATGTAGAAAGAATCGATAATTGCAGTACCAGATATTTGAAAAGTTTGCGGTCTTCTATCTGTTAGTGGCCTTCGCGGAAACAGTTTAATTATCAAAGACACTTCAAATTCATTTTTTGCTATTATCTCGTAAACTACGAGTATGTGCGAGATGGGAAAATGGTTGAACTAAAAACCAAACAATTATTAATTCCATATAATTCCATCTTAGTCATAGTTGCTCGGGGCAAACTGAGCAATAAGACCAAGGCGACACCCTGTCACGCTATCCGTGAATTTTTGCAACATCAGGTTGGTATATAGTCTACCAACGTAAACGCGGTCCACTACCATCTGGAGACGGCGAAGCCGGCTTTTCACTCTTTAAACCGAGACTCAGGTTCCTCTCCGGCTGATACTTCATATCTCTCCTACCCGGGGTACAAATTAGAGCACTTTTGTGCCTTGGGCTAAAGTTTGCGTATACGTCAGAGAGGATATCTGTTTTCGAGGCCACGGCAGTCTTGAAGGTACAGACCTGTCGATCCTATGACTGCGCGTAGCCAGCAAATACCGTCCCCGCGTCTACGGGGTTCTGCCTCTATAGGTCGCATAGCTATAATGCAGAAACAGACCAACTTATCAACCACGTGCAAATGGCTACAGATTCCTTGCTACAGCAGATCCCATTCACAGAAATCGTGATCCTCGACAATTTTAACGCTCATCACTCTGTGGGGATTCCACCACATTATTACACACACCTCATATATACACACAGAAACACAAGAACACTTACACATAAACACATACAACACCTACAGTAAACGTAATTACCATTGTGGATCGACCTTTTTCTAGACGACAACGCAGGAGCGGCCGGGGATTGAACCGCGGCGCTCGCGCATATTCTGTTGTATCAAGTTAGTTACCTGCTGATCGCCTCTGCGACTAGACCCCTGTAACACCTTTGCACCCGCGGTTTATCACCTACAGTTTATTTGTTAATGCTATCTCTTACTTTCTTGCTTGTGTTATTATTTGTAACTATTATTGTGCTCGCTTCCCTTCTGACTCTTTATTGTAGTGTGCTTTGTGTCGTGGCTTATTAAAAGACTGTGAACGTAAATATAAACTGTTTTCTTCACTGAACCTATGACGCCTTACGCCATTTAGACCTACAACACCCCTGCAACTACATACAATGAGTAGTGGTAGTGAATCGCCAGAAACGGCATCAGAACAAAATGTTACCACGCGCCCATGTACAAGGCGCAAGCACAGATCGCACGTCGACGTTACATCGGACGTTAATCGAGTTAGCGTACGTATACCGCCATTTTGGCAAGACGATCCTGAATTATGGTTTGCGCAAATAGAGGGTCAATTCACAATTTCAAACATATTATCGGATACCACAAAATTTTATTATGTGACGAGTAATTTAGATCCTCAATATTCTAAAGAAGTAAAAGATATTATTGTTTCTCCGCCTTCTAGTAACAAATACGAGAAACTTAAAGACGAACTGATTAAACGCTTGTCAGCATCGCGTGAAAGGAAGATTCAGCAGTTACTCATGCACGAGGAATTGGGAAATCGGAAACCTTCCCAATTCTTACGACACCTGCAGAGCTTGGCAGGTCCCTCGGTACCCGAGGATTTTATACAGAGCATATGGAGCAGCCGACTTCCCAACAACATCCAAACGCTGATTGTGTCGCAACCAACTAGCTCATTAGAGGTTTTAGCCGATCTAGCAGACAGAGTATATGATATAGTCACTCCAACACTTCAAGTCGCAACAACCTCACGTACTACATCGACACCTGGTACCAGTACGCAGTCTATGGTGGATGAAATAGCGGAGCTGAAAGCAGCTGTTAAGCACCTTACCATGCAATTGAGCTGACGTTCCAGACCACGTGACCGTTCTAGCAGCCGCAATTGCACACGTTCAACTTCCCGATCTGACTCCAGCTACAGAAGATACCCAACCTGTTGGTATCACTCGAAATATGGAGATAAGGCCAACCGGTGCATCAAACCCTGCGATTTCGGAAAGTCGGGAAACGCTCGAAGCAGTCGGTGATGGCGACCGACGACTGCTTAACTTCTTCGGGTCGCCTCTTCGTTACTGACCGAAACTCCAAGAACCAATTCCTTGTGGACACTGGAAGTGACGTGTGTGTGTTTCCGCGTACTGCACTTCGCGAACGACGGAGTAAGACATCTTATCAATTATCAGCAGCTAATGGTAGTACAATTGATACATACGAGTATTTACAACTTAATTTAAATTTAAATTTACGACGTAATTTTCCATGGAATTTTATTGTTGCCGACGTAAATAAAGCCATAATAGGAGTAGATTTTCTTAGTCACTATAACCTAATTGTAGACGTTAAAAACAAACGATTAATTGATAATTTAACATCCTTGTCGACAATTGCTTTTATTGCTAAAAATGTAAATAATATTAATTCTGTTAAGGTTCCTATTGGCGTCACACGATACCACACTATTTTAGCTAAATATCCGGAAATAACACGACCAGCGGGCACACCACACACCTCTGCACATAACACCGTACACTACATTCGCACTACGCCTGGACCTCCCATATCCTGCCCTCCTCGCAGGTTAGCTCCTGACAGGCTTGCAATAGCTAAGAAAGAATTTGAGCTGATGCTTAGCAACGGAACGGCGCGTCCTTCTGAGAGCTCCTGGGCATCTCCTTTACATTTGGCTCCCAAAAAAGACAATGGGTGGCGCCCCTGCGGAGACTACAGGCTATTCAACGCACGCACCATACCGGATAAGTACCCAATCAGACACATTCATGATTTTTCGCACAACATATCAGGATGCACCGTATTCTCGACTATCGACCTTGTCAAAGCGTACAACCAGATCCCTATCTTTGAGGATGACATCCAGAAAACGGCAATCACCACACCGTTTGGTTTGTACGAGTTCCCATGCATGATGTTTGGGCTCCGGAACTCAGCACAAACGTTCCAAAGGTTTGTAGATGAAATGACTAGAGGACTGGATTTCTGTTACTGTTACTTAGATGACTTCTTATTATTTTCTGGAAGTGCTACTGAGCACGAACATTACCTCAATATTCTCTTTGGCCGAATGAAGCAGTACGGAGTACTGGTGAACACCTCTAAGTGTGTATTTGGTTCATCACAGGTATAGTTTCTGGGGTACCACATCTCAGCTGCAGGCACTAAGCCACTTGAGTCAAAAGTTCAAGCCATTAAAGAATTCCCTAAGCCCCGAACAGTCAAAGCGCTCAGACGTTATTTGGGTATGCTTAATTTCTATAGGCGGTTCTTACCAGAAGCCGCAAAAATTCAAGCACCCTTAAACGCCTTATTAACTGGTTCGGTGAAGGCTTCACAAGCTATAGACCTGACAGGCGACGATCTAACAGCTTTTGAGCAGTCCAAGGACAGTCTTTGCAACGCTGCCTTATTAGCACACCCCGATTGCCAAGCCAAGTTAGCTCTGATAACGGATGCATCAGACTTAGCATTGGGTGCTGTACTGCAGCAGTACAAAGATGATGCCTGGCAGCCATTAGCATTCCTTTCGCGAAAGCTTAGCCCATCACAACAGAAGTACTCACCCTACGACCGTGAGTTGCTGGCTATATATGAAGGCATTAAGTATTTTCGCCACATGCTCGAGGCACGCCACTTCACAGTCTATACTGACCACCTTTATGTTATGCATTCCATGTAAGGAAAAGTAACTGTTCGCCGCGTCAGTATAGACATCTAGATTTTGTGTCTCAATTTACAAGCGACATTCAGCACATATCCGGCAAGGATAATATCGTTGCTGATACTCTGTCGCGCATGGATGAAATACAGCAGCCGGTGGATTTTAAAGAGCTCGCTAAAGCTCAGTCCATAGATTCTGAGCTATCACAACTTCTAGGCGATGAATCATCACTTCGCATTATTAAAGTTAAAGAGCCCGATAGCAAAGTCAAAATTTTTTGCGATATAAGTTTAGGCATACCAAGACCTTTCGTTCCCAAATTTTTCGAAAAGCTATTTTTGACAGTCTACATTCTTTAAGTCACCCTGGCGCAAACGCTACTGTTAAGCTGGTAGCACAGCGATTCGTTTGGCCAGGAGTCAGAAAAGACTGCCGAGAATGGTCTCGTACGTGCTTAGCCTGCCAGCGCTCTAAGGTAAACCGCCATGTGTCAGCACCTTTAGGCACATACGATTTACCACGAGCCAGGTTTTCCTATGTGCATATCGATCTTATTGGTCCACTCCCATACTCGAATGATTTCCGCTACTGCTTAACAGCAGTTGACCGTTTCACGAGATGGGCAGAAGTTATCCCCATAGCGGACATTACAGCCGAAACTGTAGCGAAGGCACTCTCTATCAGGTTGGATCGCCAGATTTGGTTGTCCAACTGACATAGTTACGGACCGTGGACGGCAGTTCGAATCCGATTTATTTAATTATCTATCGAAAATAATCGATTCAAACACCGCAGAACCACACCTTAACAGACCCTTAGACCCCTGTAACACCTTTGCGCCCGCGGTTTATCACGTACAGTTTATTTGTTAATGCTATCTCTTACTTTCTTGCTTGTGTTATTATTTGTAACTATTATTGTGCTCGCTTCCCTTCTGACTCTTTATTGTAGTGTGCTTTGTGTCGTGGCTTATTAAAAGACTGTGAACGTAAATATAAACTGTTTTCTTCTACGACGCCTTACGCCATTTAGACCTACAACTCCGAATGGCTCGAATTACGTTTAACCGATCATGCGGCAAGATCTGTTTATGACTTTGCCTTGGCATATGGTCTTACACAGCTGGTTACTTCGCCTACGCGTATTCCAGATGTGAAGGATGATACACCTTCCCTCTAAGCATCACGCTATAAGCAGGATTGGTACCAAGCCTGGGCTGACGCAGTGACGTCTCGGGATGTAAATACCAGCGCTTTAAAAAATAATTGTAATTCGGCCTCCAGGTCCTTCGAAAGAGTCATTGCCAAGGGAAGGTCTGAGCACATCGGCAGAATTTACGATAAGCTAGTTCGCCTTCTTTCGGGAACCCGTGTACCTGTGAACATCGACATATTGAATAGTGTACAGTTCCGTGGTCACTTGGAAAGGAAGGCTAAATTGGCCTCTAAAAAGCTGGGGGCGCTCAGGAGAACGAGATACAGCTCCGGTAACATTGATTGCAACTTTACAAAGCGCAAGTTAAGCCTCACATGGAATACTGTTCTCATCTCTGGGCCGGGGCACCCCAGTGCCAGCTCCATTCACTTGACCGCAGCCAGCACAGAGCGGTTCGAATCATCGACGACCGAGTACTTTCTGATCGGCTTAATTCATTGGCGCTGCGTAGGGATGATGCATCCCTTTGCATTTTCTATCGTACCTATCACGGGGAGTGCTCTGAGGAATTTTTCGGATTAATTACAGTCAACAAAATTTCACGAACGCACATCGCGTGAACATTCACGGTACCATCCTAACCATCTGGATCGTTGGTGGTGCACCATCGTGCGTTTTATTAGGAGTTTTCTTCATCGTACAACGTCTTTGTGGAATTGTTGCGGTAGTTCATGGGCGGCGGTAGTCACTTATCATCAGGCGAGCCGCATGCTCGTTTGCCCCCTATCGATATAAACAACAAATAGAGCTACGGGTAGGGCGGCAGCTGCGCGAGGCGGCGGAGCTCGTGCGCGGGCCAGGCAGCCCGCCAGCAGCACGTTCTCTGTACAAACACATGGTACCGGTAGGGCGGCAGCTGCGCGAGGCGGCGCAGCTCGTGTGCAGGCCGGGCATCCCGCCAGCAGCACGTTCTCTATACAAACACACGGTACCGGTGGGGCGGCAGCTGCGCGAGGCGGCGCAGCTCGTGCGCAGGCCAGGCAGCCCACCAGCAGCACGTTATCTATACAAACAACACACGGTACCGGTAGGGCGGCAGCTGCGCGACGCGGCGCAGCTCGTGCGCAGGCCGGGTAGCCCGCCAGCAGCACGTTCTCTATACAAACACATGGTACCGGTAGGGCGGCAGCTGCGCGAGGCGGTGCAGCTCGTGCGCAGGCCGGGCAGCCCGCCAGCAGCACGTTCTCTATACAAACATATGGTACCTGTAAGGCGGCAGCTGCGAGAGGCGGCGCAGCTCGTGCGCGGGCTAGGCAGCCCGACAGCAGCACGTTCTCTATACAAACAACACACGGTACCGGTAGGGCGGCAACTGCGCGAGGCGGCGCAGCTCGTGCGCAGGCCGGGCAGCCCGCCAGCAGCACGTTCTCTATAGAAACAACACACGGTACCGGTAGGGCGGCAGCTGCGCGAGGCGGCGCAGCTCGTGCGCAGGCCAGGCAGCCCGCCAGCAGCACGTTATCTATACAAACACATGGTACCGGTAGGGCGGCAGCTGCGCGAGGCGGCGCAGCTCGTGCGCAGGGCGGGCAGCCCGCCAGCAGCACGTTCTCTATACAAACAACACATGGTACCTGTAGGGCGGCAGCTGCGAGAGGCGGGGCAGCTCGTGCGCAGGCCGGGCAGCCCGCCAGTAGCACGTTCTCTATACAAACAACACACGGTACCGGTAGGGCGGCAGCTGCGCGAGGCGGCGCAGCTCGTGCGCAAGCCAGGCAGCCCGCCAGCAGCACGTTATCCATACAAACACATGGTACCGGTAGGGCGGTAGCTGCGCGAGGCGGCGCAGCTCGTGCGCAGGCCGGGCAGCCCGCCAGCAGCACGTTCTCTATACAACAACACATGGTACCTGTAGGGCGGCAGCTGCGCGAGGCGGTGCAGCTCGTGCGCAGGCCGGGCAGCCCGCCAGCAGCACGTTCTCTATACAAACACATGGTACCTGTAAGGCGGCAGCTGCGAGAGGCGGCGCAGCTCGTGCGCGGGCCAGGCAGCCCGCCAGCAGCACGTTCTCTATACAAACAACACACGGTACCGGTAGGGCGGCAGCTGCGCGAGGCGGCGCAGCTCGTGCGCAGGCCGGGCAGCCCGCCAGCAGCACGTTCTCTATAGACAACACACGGTACCTGTAGGGCGGCAGCTGCGCGAGGCGGCGCAGCTCGTGCGCAGGCCAGGCAGCCCGCCAGCAGCACGTTATCTATACAAACACATGGTACCTGTAGGGCGGCAGCTGCGCGAGGCGGCGCAGCTCGTGCGCAGGGCGGGCAGCCCGCCAGCAGCACGTTCTCTATACAAACAACACATGGTACCTGTAGGGCGGCAGCTGCGCGAGGCGGGGCAGCTCGTGCGCAGGCCGGGCAGCCCGCCAGTAGCACGTTCTCTATACAAACAACACACGGTACCGGTAGGGCGGCAGCTGCGCAGGGGCGGCGCAGCTCGTGCGCAAGCCAGGCAGCCCGCCAGCAGCACGTTATCCATACAAACACATGGTACCGGTAGGGCGGTAGCTGCGCGAGGCGGCGCAGCTCGTGCGCAGGCCGGGCAGCCCGCCAGCAGCACGTTCTCTATACAAACAACACATGGTACCTGTAAGGCGGCAGCTGCGCGAGGCGGCGCAGCTCGTGCGCAGGCCAGGCACGCCCGCCAGCAGCACGTTATCTATACAAACACATGGTACCTGTAGGGCGGCAGCTGCATACGGGCGGCGCAGCTCGTGCGCAAGCCGGGCAGCCCGCCAGCAGCACGTTCTCTATACAAACACATGGTACCTGTAGGGCGGCAGCTGCATAAGGCGGCGCAGCTCGTGCGCAGGCCGGGCAGCCCCGCCAAGCAGCACGTTCTCTATACAAACACATGGTACCTGTAGGGCGGCAGCTGCATAAGGCGGCGCAGCTCGTGCGCAGGCCGGGCAGCCCGCCAGCAGCACGTTCTCTATACAAACACATGGTACCTGTAGGGCGGCAGCTGCGCGAGGCGGCGCAGCTCGTGCGCAGGCCGGGCAGCCCGCCAGCAGCACGTTCTTTATACAAACAACACATGGTACCTGTAGGGCGGCAGCTGCGCGAGGCGGTGCAACTCGTGCGCAGGCCAGGCAGCCCGCCAGCAGCACGTTATCTATACAAACACATGGTACCTGTAGGGCGGCAGCTGCGTAAGGCGGCGCAGCTCGTGCGCAGGCCAGGCAGCCCGCCAGCAGCACGTTATCTATACAAACACATGGTATCTGTAGGGCGGCAGCAGCGCGAGGCGGCGCAGCTCGTGCGCAGGCCGGGCAGCCCCCCAGCAGCACGTTCTCTATACAAACAACACACGGTACCTGTAGGGCGGCAGCTGCGTAAGGCGGCGCAGCTCGTGCGCAGGCCGGGCAGCCCGCTAGCAGAACGTTCTCTATTCAATCAACACTCGGTACCTGTAGGGCGGCAGCTGCGCGAGGCGGCGGAGCTCGTGCGCAGGCCGGGCAGCCCGCCAGCAGCACGTTCTCTATACAATAACATGGTACCGGTAGGGCGGTAGCTGCGCGAGGCGGCGCAGCTCGTGCGCAGGCCGGGCAGCCCGCCAGCAGCACGTTCTCTATACAAACAACACATGTTACCTGTAGGGCGGCAGCTGCGTAAGGTGGCGCAGCTCGTGCGCAGGCCGGGCAGCCCGCCAGCAACACGTTCTCTATACAAACACATGGTACCTGTAGGGCGGCAGCTGCGTAAGGCGGCGCAGCTCGTGCGCAGGCCAGGAAGCCCGCCAGTAGCACGTTCTCTATACAAACAACACACGGTACTGGTAGGGCGGCAGCTGCGCGAGGCGGCGCTGCTCGTGCGCAGGCCAGGCAGACCGCCAGCAGCACGTTCTCTATACAAACACATGGTACCTGTAGGGCGGCAGCTGCGCGAGGCGGCGCAGCTCGTGCGCAGGCCGGGCAGCCCGCCAGCAGCACGTTATCTATACAAACACATGGTACCTGTAGGGCGGCAGCTGCGCGAGGCGGCGCAGCTCGTGCGCAGGCCGGGCAGCCCGCTAGCAGAACGTTCTCTATACAAACAACACACGGTACCTGTAGGGCGGCAGCTGCGCGAGGCGGCGCAGCTCGTGCGCAGGCCGGGCAGCCCGCCAGCAGCACGTTCTCTATACAATAACATGGTACCGGTAGGGCGGTAGCTGCGCGAGGCGGCGCAGCTCGTGCGCAGGCCGGGCAGCCCGCCAGCAGCACGTTCTCTATACAAACAACACATGTTACCTGTAGGGCGGCAGCTGCGTAAGGTGGCGCAGCTCGTGCGCAGGCCGGGCAGCCCGCCAGCAACACGTTCTCTATACAAACACATGGTACCTGTAGGGCGGCAGCTGCGTAAGGCGGCGCAGCTCGTGCGCAGGCCAGGAAGCCCGCCAGTAGCACGTTCTCTATACAAACAACACACGGTACTGGTAGGGCGGCAGCTGCGCGAGGCGGCGCTGCTCGTGCGCAGGCCAGGCAGACCGCCAGCAGCACGTTCTCTATACAAACACATGGTACCTGTAGGGCGGCAGCTGCGCGAGGCGGCGCAGCTCGTGCGCAGGCCGGGCAGCCCGCCAGCAGCACGTTATCTATACAAACACATGGTACCTGTAGGGCGGCAGCTGCGCGAGGCGGCGCAGCTCGTGCGCAGGCCGGGCAGCCCGCCAGCAGCACGTTCTCTATACCAACACATGGTACCGGTAGGGCGGCAGCTGCGCGAGGCGGCGCAGCTCGTGCGCAGGCCGGGCAGCCCGCCAGCAGCACGTTCTCTATACAAACAACACACGGTACCGGTAGGGCGGCAGCTGCGCAAGGCGGCACAGCTCGTGCGCAGGCCGGGCAGCCCGCCAGCAGCACGTTCTCTATACAAACAACACACGGTACCTGTAGTGCGGCAGCTGCGCAAGGCGGCGCAGCTCGTGCGCAGGCCGGGCAGCCCGCCAGCAGCACGTTCTCTATACAAACACATGGTACCTGTAGGGCGGCAGCTGCGCGAGGCGGCGCAGCTCGTGCGCAGGCCAGGCAGCCCGCCAGCAGCACGTTATCTATACAAACACATGGTACCTGTAGGGCGGCAGCTGCGCGAGGCGGCGCAGCTCGTGCGCAGGCCGGGCAGCCCGCCAGCAGCACGTTCTCTATAGAAACAACACACGGTACCGGTAGGGCGGCAGCTGCGCGAGGCGGCGCAGCTCGTGCGCAGGCCAGGCAGCCCGCCAGCAGCACGTTATCTATACAAACACATGGTACCGGTAGGGCGGCAGCTGCGCGAGGCGGCGCAGCTCGTGCGCAGGGCGGGCAGCCCGCCAGCAGCACGTTCTCTATACAAACAACACATGGTACCTGTAGGGCGGCAGCTGCGCGAGGCGGGGCAGCTCGTGCGCAGGCCGGGCAGCCCGCCAGTAGCACGTTCTCTATACAACCAACACACGGTACCGGTAGGGCGGCAGCTGCGCGAGGCGGCGCAGCTCGTGCGCAAGCCAGGCAGCCCGCCAGCAGCACGTTATCCATACAAACACATGGTACCGGTAGGGCGGTAGCTGCGCGAGGCGGCGCAGCTCGTGCGCAGGCCGGGCAGCCCGCCAGCAGCACGTTCTCTATACAAACAACACATGGTACCTGTAAGGCGGCAGCTGCGCGAGGCGGCGCAGCTCGTGCGCAGGCCAGGCAGCCCGCCAGCAGCACGTTATCTATACAAACACATGGTACCTGTAGGGCGGCAGCTGCATAAGGCGGCGCAGCTCGTGCGCAAGCCGGGCAGCCCGCCAGCAGCACGTTCTCTATACAAACACATGGTACCTGTAGGGCGGCAGCTGCATAAGGCGGCGCAGCTCGTGCGCAGGCCGGGCAGCCCGCCAGCAGCACGTTCTCTATACAAACACATGGTACCTGTAGGGCGGCAGCTGCGCGAGGCGGCGCAGCTCGTGCGCAGGCCGGGCCGCCCGCCAGCAGCACGTTCTTTATACAAACAACACATGGTACCTGTAGGGCGGCAGCTGCGCGAGGCGGTGCAACTCGTGCGCAGGCCAGGCAGCCCGCCAGCAGCACGTTATCTATACAAACACATGGTACCTGTAGGGCGGCAGCTGCGTAAGGCGGCGCAGCTCGTGCGCAGGCCAGGCAGCCCGCCAGCAGCACGTTATCTATACAAACACATGGTATCTGTAGGGCGGCAGCAGCGCGAGGCGGCGCAGCTCGTGCGCAGGCCGGGCAGCCCGCCAGCAGCACGTTCTCTATACAAACAACACACGGTACCTGTAGGGCGGCAGCTGCGTAAGGCGGCGCAGCTCGTGCGCAGGCCGGGCAGCCCGCTAGCAGAACGTTCTCTATACAAACAACACACGGTACCTGTAGGGCGGCAGCTGCGCGAGGCGGCGCAGCTCGTGCGCAGGCCGGGCAGCCCGCCAGCAGCACGTTCTCTATACAATAACATGGTACCGGTAGGGCGGTAGCTGCGCGAGGCGGCGCAGCTCGTGCGCAGGCCGGGCAGCCCGCCAGCAGCACGTTCTCTATACAAACAACACATGTTACCTGTAGGGCGGCAGCTGCGTAAGGTGGCGCAGCTCGTGCGCAGGCCGGGCAGCCCGCCAGCAACACGTTCTCTATACAAACACATGGTACCTGTAGGGCGGCAGCTGCGTAAGGCGGCGCAGCTCGTGCGCAGGCCAGGAAGCCCGCCAGTAGCACGTTCTCTATACAAACAACACACGGTACTGGTAGGGCGGCAGCTGCGCGAGGCGGCGCTGCTCGTGCGCAGGCCAGGCAGACCGCCAGCAGCACGTTCTCTATACAAACACATGGTACCTGTAGGGCGGCAGCTGCGCGAGGCGGCGCAGCTCGTGCGCAGGCCGGGCAGCCCGCCAGCAGCACGTTATCTATACAAACACATGGTACCTGTAGGGCGGCAGCTGCGCGAGGCGGCGCAGCTCGTGCGCAGGCCGGGCAGCCCGCCAGCAGCACGTTCTCTATACAAACACATGGTACCTGTAGGGCGGCAGCTGCGCGAGGCGGCGCAGCTCGTGCGCAGGCCGGGCCGCCCGCCAGCAGCACGTTCTCTATACAACCAACACACGGTACCGGTAGGGCGGCAGCTGCGCAAGGCGGCACAGCTCGTGCGCAGGCCGGGCAGCCCGCCAGCAGCACGTTCTCTATACAAACAACACACGGTACCTGTAGTGCGGCAGCTGCGCAAGGCGGCGCAGCTCGTGCGCAGGCCGGGCAGCCCGCCAGCAGCACGTTCTCTATACAAACACATGGTACCTGTAGGGCGGCAGCTGCGCGAGGCGGCGCAGCTCGTGCGCAGGCCAGGCAGCCCGCCAGCAGCACGTTATCTATACAAACACATGGTACCTGTAGGGCGGCAGCTGCGCGAGGCGGCGCAGCTCGTGCGCAGGCCGGGCAGCCCGCCAGCAGCACGTTATCTATACAAACAACACACGGTACCGGTAGGGCGGCAGCTGCGCGACGCGGAGCAGCTCGTGCGCAGGCCGGGCAGCCCGCCAGCAGCACGTTCTCTATACAAACACATTGTACCTGTAGGGCGGCAGCTGCGCGAGGCGGCACAGCTCGTGCGCAGGCCGGGCAGCCCGCCAGCAGCACGTTCTCTATACAAACAACACACGGTACCTGTAGGGCGGCAGCTGCGCGAGGCGGCGCAGCTCGTGCGCAGGCCGGGCAGCCCGCCAGCAGCACGTTCTCTATACAAACACATGGTACCTATAGGGCGGCAGCTGCGCGAGGCGGCGCAGCTCTTGCGCGAGGCGCGCGCGCAGGCCGGGCAACGCGGCGCCGCCGCCCGCCACCAGCACGTTTTCCGCGAGCGCTCGCCGCGCGTCGATGGGACACTGCCATTACATCAACCCTAATTAGACATTACGCAAAAACAATCTAATCCACAAAAGGCTAATTTTGAAATATTGACCTTTGAAGTCTTCCCGTAAAGAGGTATTTTTTAAATAAATAATTATTCATCAAAACTGCCGTGGGCTTCGGACCAAATTACATACTATATATACGAACATTCTTTCTCATGCATATGATGTAATTATTTTAACGGAAACATGGTTACATAGTTATATTTCTAATAACGAATTTATTGATACCAGATATACAGTGTATAGATGCGACAGAAATCGTGATGCGTGTGATCGGAGGGACGGTGGGGGAGTGCTCATAGCGGTACGCAGTACGCTTAGCACTGTCGAGGTCCGGACTTCTTTCTCTGCGTCCGCACTTTCCCCACTTATAGATTACGTTACACTTGAGATTAGGGGTGGCAAAAAACTTTATCTATTAAATGCTGTCTATATTGCGCCTAACCAAAAGAGTGATGTATACTTGAGCTATATAGAATATTTGTCAGGTATAGTTAATCAATACCAATTATGTAATAATTTTTATCTAGTAGGAGACTACAATATGCCATCTATAGATTGGAATGATATGGATCTTAATTTTGAAGGTAATTCTTTTTCCGATATATCAATTTCACGCAATAGTTTAATAAATTTTATATCACTTTATAATTTTACACAAATTAATACATGTAAAAATTCAAATAATGTTATTCTAGATCTATTTATTACTAACATAAATGACTATATATTATGTCCAGCCCATATTCCTTTAGTAAGTACTGATAAACATCATCATCATCCATTTTATGTAATAGTACCGTTTGCCGAGAAGATACGAGGCATGCCGAGTAAACACACACGTTACTGTTTTGAAAGTGCGGACTATGTATTGATTAATAAAGTAATATTAGATACTGAATGGAAGGCTTTGATTAAAGACGCCGTTTCTGCTGAAGCTGCTTTGGATTTATTTTATGACGAAATATATGGTATTATACGCAAATATATAGAAAGGAAAACTGTAAAAAAAGCAATTTTCCTAAGTGGTTTGATTCATCACTGATACATATCTTCAAAAATAAAAATAATGCTTGGGTTAAATGGAAAAAGTACGGAAATTTGTCAGATTATAGAACATTCGCATTGTACAGAAAACGTTTTAAAACTGAATCTAAATTACGTTATGCTCATTATATGAATACTGTCGAGAACTGTGTAAAGCAAAATATTAAATATTTCTGGAAATATGTAACAAATTGCAAAAGTAGCCTAGAAATCAGAGAATAAATTACATATGTCCTTGGGGTTACTTTGCTAGTAACCCCAAGGAAGTATGTAATTTATTCTCTGATTTTTTCTTTTCGGTATTTGAACCCACTTCAGTTACTGATGATTTGAATTATGATAACATTAATATATCAAATAATAACAATTGTGATTTCGTTATTACTGACATTTCTATTTTTGAAAAAAGATGTAACAAAGTCCGTTTTAGATTTAGACGCGAATAAAGGAGCTGGTATTGACAACATTCCTCCTTATTTTTTAAACTAAAAAATTCGTAATGGCAAATACACATCCGAACTACACAGCACCTGAATATGCGGACATTTCAATCGCAAAAAATGGTACCCATTCAAGGTTAGAAAGTACATGCGTGATAAGTTAATAAGAGTGAATTATTGTCAGTGGTTACTGAGTAAAATTGAAGAGGACTGTGACTTTCTTTCCCAAATTTGTTGGACTGACGAAAGCACGTTTACCAGAAACGGTATGTGAAACCAGCACAATCTGCACCATTGGGCACCCAAACACCAAAATCATCAATCAGTAGACACGGACCATCACGAGTACTAGGTTGTAGGTACCAGACGCATTGCGCGGTTGCCGCAAAACGACATGTTGCCGCTCCGACTTAACTAGGTAATTTTATTACCTATATAACTAGATAATTTAATAGATATAACTAGGTAATTTTATCAAGTCGCATTTCTACTGCCGGTCAGTGCAGTCGCTTCATTTTATTTTATTTTATTTTATTTTAATAAGGATAACAACAGCGTATATCACTAAATACAATTTCAAATTTACTTCAAGTATGCCAATAACAGTTATCCACATATTAAATATAAAGGTAAGCTATTATTAAGATAAGAAATTAAACAAATTAAAACAACTTAATAAAATAACAGTAATAAAATTAAGTAATTTTAGGTTTACTAACACTAAGATATTAGGTCTTTCTGACAAATTCATGTGTGATTTACTTTTCGAGTTAATTTTGTAATTCATTTATTTATATCATGGCAAAATATATTCTATATATCATTACATATATACATACATACACATACACATATACATACGTACACATACACATATATATATGCATATATATATATATATATATATAAATATATATAATTCACTAAGGTAAATTAAACAACAGAAGCTGTGTTTAATATGCATGTACGTACCCTGTTTCTAAAATCACTTTTACTGCCTATAAAGGGATCGATGGTATTAAATGTTTTGTTATAACTTGATAGCAAACGTGTTGAGATACTATTTTTACCATAAATTGTGGAATGACGAGGTATACTAAACAAAGTTTTCTTGGTGATTCTTGTACGTTTTCTTTGCACATTAAAAGTAACAGTATTCAGTAAATCCGGGCAGTCAATACCATCGCGTAAGATATCGTATAGAAATCCCATATCTAACAGTTTACGTCTTTCTTCAAGCGTAAGAAGGTTAAAGTGTCGGCAGTCATCTAAATATGATGAGCTTTTATGTTTAATTTTATAGTTCAGGTGTGAGATAAATTTACGTTGAATTCTTTCAATATTATTAATGTAAATTTTAAAAAATGGTGACCAAACCTGGCATGCATACTCAAGAGTGGATCTTACATACGAGAAATAAACTATTTTAAAACTTAGTAATTCCGTAAGTGGAAGACATGTACGCATGACAAATCCAAGATTACGAAATAATTTACTACATATACTATTGATATGATCTCGCATGGTCATACCGACATCAAAGAGTACGCCTAAATCCCGAACAACTGTGACCCTCTTAATTAAAATTCCATTAAAATTATAGGGAAATACTATTGGGTTTCGTTTTCTGGTGAAAGATATACATTGACATTTGGATATACTTACATTAATGCCGTTAGCTACGTAATAGTTGTATAAAGAGGTAAGATCTTTTTGAATTGATTCGCAGTCTTCAATAGTACGAACTTTGAGAAAAATCTTTTTATCATCGGCGTAAAGTAAGTGATGGGAGTTACTTATAAATTTATGTATATCAAATATGTATGCGTTGTAGAAAAGAGGGCCAAGATGAGAGCCTTGAGGCACGCCAGATGGGATAGTAATAAAATCTGACCTGTAACCTCCAAGAACAACTGCCTGAGATCGATTCGTCAGATAAGATTTGACCCATCTAAGCAGATCCCCATGAATTCCGAGCGCCTGGAGCTTTTGTAGCAATATAACATGATTTACACGGTCAAAAGCTTTTTCGAAATCTGTGTATATAACGTCAACCTGACCACCATTTTCCATATTATTAAGAACGTACTCAGTAAAGCAGGCAAGATTAGATATTGTAGAGCGTCTTTTTAAAAAACCATGTTGTGAATTAGGTATACCTTTTATAATAATTGGATAAATTTTATCGAATACTCAAAACTGATTCTAAATTCATTAATATACTCAGCTAATTTACCTTCATCTGGTGGTATATAAACTAGTATAATATTTAAGTTGTATTGTGAGCTGAGAGATCGGGCTGGTAAGCTGACACATATAGATTCAATATAATTACAACTCCAATCTACACGCTTAGTCGCACCTAGTTCACGACGGGTACAAATCATTACACCTCCACCTGAACTCTTATTCGTAGCCACCAAGTCCCTGTTACAACGGAATATATCAAACCTCCCATCACATAATTCGTTATCAAATATATCATCTTGCAACCAAGTTTCAGTGAGGAGTATAACATTATAATTAAATTGAATTGAAATCGTGATGCGTGTGATCGGAGGGACGGTGGGGGAGTGCTCATAGCGGTACGCAGTACGCTTAGCACTGTCGAGGTCCGGACTTCTTTCTCTGCGTCCGCACTTTCCCCACTTATAGATTACGTTACACTTGAGATTAGGGGTGGCAAAAAACTTTATCTATTAAATGCTGTCTATATTGCGCCTAACCAAAAGAGTGATGTATACTTGAGCTATATAGAATATTTGTCAGGTATAGTTAATCAATACCAATTATGTAATAATTTTTATCTAGTAGGAGACTACAATATGCCATCTATAGATTGGAATGATATGGATCTTAATTTTGAAGGTAATTCTTTTTCCGATATATCAATTTCACGCAATAGTTTAATAAATTTTATATCACTTTATAATTTTACACAAATTAATACATGTAAAAATTCAAATAATGTTATTCTAGATCTATTTATTACTAACATAAATGACTATATATTATGTCCAGCCCATATTCCTTTAGTAAGTACTGATAAACATCATCATCATCCATTTTATGTAATAGTACCGTTTGCCGAGAAGATACGAGGCATGCCGAGTAAACACACACGTTACTGTTTTGAAAGTGCGGACTATGTATTGATTAATAAAGTAATATTAGATACTGAATGGAAGGCTTTGATTAAAGACGCCGTTTCTGCTGAAGCTGCTGTGGACTTATTTTATGACGAAATATATGGTATTATACGCAAATATATAGAAAGGAAAACTGTAAAAAAAGCAATTTTCCTAAGTGGTTTGATTCATCACTGATACATATCTTCAAAAATAAAAATAATGCTTGGGTTAAATGGAAAAAGTACGGAAATTTGTCAGATTATAGAACATTCGCATTGTACAGAAAACGTTTTAAAACTGAATCTAAATTACGTTATGCTCATTATATGAATACTGTCGAGAACTGTGTAAAGCAAAATATTAAATATTTCTG